TAGCAGACTGATAGGCCGGTTGTTGGCAGTCTCCTCTTTCTGACCTTTCTGGAACAGAAGAACTGTTCTCGATTCTCTCCACTGTTCTGGAATCATTCCTAATTGCAGGTAATGACTGAAGTGCTCTGCGAGGAGTGTGTGAAGGGACTTTCCTCCTGCACGAAGAAGATCGGCAGATATGCCATCGGGTCCAGGAGCAGTTCCTTTCTTCATCTTTTTGATCGCATTTGCAACTTCCGCTTCCAGAATAGGAGGGGGATCTTCAGCAGGCGGTGCAGAGCATCTAGGGACGTTTGTGGAAGAGCGGAAGAGATTCGTGTAGAAACCACTAACGATTTCCTCGATAGATCTCCTAGATGTTTGTATTCTTCCATTCTTGTCCATAAGAGCTGAAATGACATTTCTTTGATCGTTCAGATCTCGTTTGCAGCGTTTGATGCTCGATCTTGTTTCTGCCGCCTTCAGCAGTCTAGTTCTTCTGTAAGCTCGGAGTGATTCTCTGACGGCAAACCGGCATGCCTTGTTGATGGTGACTTTTTCCAAGTGCGTGGCATTAGGGTCCATTTTCATTGCCCTCCTTTTTTCCAACAAAGTGGTTGCGACATCATTGAGCCTTGGGCTGGAATCTGATCGCGCGAGTCGCGAAAAGCTCTGCGCACTTGGACAGACCTTCGACCAGATGTTTGTAATCTTCTGATGGGTCGTCCAGCAAATGCCAGCTATGAGCCTCAATGCAAGCTCCCAATTGCTCAGTGTTGTAGGAGGGATTCCTCGAAGGTAAGGGCCTATGCCTGTCGCGCTTGAATAATTTCTTCTTGAGACATACTTTGGCACGTATCAAACGGTGGTCTGAGCCAGTATCGAATGACGGCAGCACTGATACGTCGAATAGGCTCCAGCGTCGATTGGTTAGGATGTGATCGATTTCCTTGCGCGTTTCTCCATTTGGACTTTCCCAGGTCCATCGCCGTCCAGTCGGCTTCTCGAACATAGAGTTTCCGTGATAAAGGCGACATGCAGACAGCAAAGTCAAGGGTCAAGCTTTCTCCCGTTCTGCGTTTCGAACTGTTGCGTTCCCATGGGGCCCGAGTCGCCAATCGCCGTTGTGGTTCGTGCCTATAAGGGCATTGAAGTCACCAACCACATACTTGTAGTAAGTTCTCTCATTCTGAATCGTATCTTCCAGAAGCTGGTAAAATTCTTCGCGTTCTTCGTCAGTGGCGGTGGAGGTGGGTGCATATCCATTGATAATGGATATGGCTCCTTGATCTTTGGTCAGCAAGCGTAGAAACAGCGATGCGTGGACTGATGATTTTGTGAGAGTCTACTAGATGGACCACTGCCTGGTTTATGAGAAATCCAACTCCGCCGACATTCTTGCCATCCACCTTGGCTTCAACAATAAGCAGCTCGTTGTGATCGGTTTTCCTAATGGTTTCCGTTCTGCCCTTCGTTTCTTGTATAGCGATAACATCGTACTTGATCTGACGACTCCTCAGCAGAAGTGTTCGGAGATCAGCATCCGATGCAATAGTCCGACAATTATACGAGCAGACGAAGAGGCAGTCCTTGTGTCGTTGGGTGGGGAGTTTCCGGGTTTTGCCGATTAATCTGATGACGTCCTGATTCCCTGACGAGATTAGATGGCCCCTCATCGGTAGAGGCAACTCCTGACGTCGTAGAAGAGCATATCCGATGTACGCAGGACTGGGGCGCTATTGAAGCTGTTTGAGCAGAAGAAGTGGCTTAGGTTACTCCCTTGTTCCTTGCTAGGGATACAAGAAAGCCGCCCATACACACATTACTGTGCGTACTGCGTAGCCGTTGTGTACCGTTGGCCACCATTAGTGGTGTACACCCTATGCACCGCGGTGAAGTACAAACAATGAAAGCTGGCTAAAATCACAAAGTGGTTGAAGACACGCATACGCTTCCTAAAATAGGGGAGCCGAGGGTCTCGGTGGTGGATAGTGGAATGATTACTGAATCTAGGCCAACCTCTCAATTCAGCGAGGTCACGCTTTAAGTATCTAACCGTATACCTACGGCTCATAGTAACATGTCTGAATGATATCTGTGGGTGATATGCGTCAATTAGGAATCCCTGAAAGGATGCAGCAGCAGGTGCTAGTGGCAATCCTGAACAAGCCGTACTATAAACCCAAACCATCTGGTGCCGACGAGAACCCGCCATCATAACCACCACGCCATCCGATAACTGAAACCCGAATATCGTGCCCTCCTCTGATAAAGTTCCTTCGACATTTTCACTACATGTAATCTGCAATGTGGCGCAGTTCGGCGACGAGGGGAGGGGCATTTTGTACTTTGCTTCACTACCTTCAGTTTACAAGTCTCACTCCAATGAAACTTGTGAACTCTCGTGAAGCTGGAGTAAGCTCGTCTAGCCACCATGGTAAAAGCTGTCAACTCAAAAAAGGCTATCCAGATAGGTCGGCACATCGATGGGAAGTAGAATTCCCCCTCCCCCCTGTCGCCGAACCGCGCTCTGCAGTGTTTCCCTTTTCACTGTAATACATTTCATTTCCAATGCTACTCAAATCGCCCGTTGAATTATGAGTGTTCAGAATTGCGGGCGGGATAGCAAAGCAACAAGGAGGTATGAAAGCCACTTACTTGTGGAAACTTTTCACTTTTTTTCATTTTCACAAATGATCAGCGACACGTAAAGGCCCCTACCACGTGCAAGAAAGCGTAGACAAAAAGGGGGCACGCCCTGAATCCTCCTGTACATCCGGGCTCTTCCAGTACAGCGAGGCATTTCGGTGTGATAGTTCGTGGATTACAGTCTTGTTCGCTGCGGGCCAAGAGGCGTGTAAGACGAGATGTGTCTGGCCCGATGCCGATTAAAACCAGAAAAAAAATATTGGAGAAAGAAAACACTCCAAAGCACAGATGGTTCGTTTTGCTTGTTAGCCTAGAAAAAACCCGTTCCCCACCACTTGTTGAAGCGAGCAATGAGAAGACTGTATGACTGTACGATCGTATACCTCGTTTTCTACCAATCTCAGTCCCATACCCGCTTCAGCAACTGACAGAGAACGGGTTTGCGCCGCGCGACACACCTATTCTGCCTGTCACGCCCCTTCATCCGCTACGAACTAGAGTATACTTGAGTTCGTATTGTGAACAGAGACCCATTAGAGTTACGAAATGTACTAGTTTCGTTTCTGCGCCATTTGCTCGAGTTTTTTCTGTACCTGTTTTCGATGAAGAAACGATTGAGGGTTATGAGAACGATTATTTTTCCTCCGAGGCAAGTCACCTAATCCATTTGCACTAAAAGGAATCCGCAACATACTGAAAGGGTGAAGATTCCCTCAAACCTTCATGTTGAAAAAATTGTTTGCCGTGTTCTTAGGCGCCCTGCATCAAAATGTCCCACCATTTCCGATGAGCGTCGGATTACACCTAAAAACAGACCCCTAGCTCGGCAATTCGTAGGCGTCCTTCAAGGTACAAAAAGTATGGTCCTCACTCTCAAGGATTACGCCACCTTCGCGGCTTCCTAGTAAGTAACGAAGGCGCCGCGGCCCTCATAAGTAAAGTTCCGACGCCTCAGTGGTTGCTCCCCCCCAAGGAAAAAAAACTCAGAGGCTATTTCCTGTCACGAGTTCAGTTGTTGTACTTATTTTCCGTTTTTTCACTTTTCGATGGTACTGATTGGGTGACGCGAAGAAATGACCTGTAATCAAGAGGCAGCAGGATACCGCATTGCTGGCGTAGAACGAGCAGGTCCGAAGAACTGGAAGAGACGGCCAGGAGTCACCGCCGCGCTCGAAACTAGGTCACCGCGCGCGGCGACCTGTTCGCGTGGCGCGGCGGTGAGTCCTGACCTGGCATTTTGCCAACTTCCGATCGATATGACCCTATCGCAATTTGCTTGGGCGGCGACCTGGCTTCGAGCGCGGCGGTGAGTCCTGACACACGCCCGTCGCTAAATGACTCTTCAAGGGACAAAAAACATTTTAAAAAATCATGGAGAACACCCCAAGCAAGGACCTGGCACCCTCTCTGGACTCAGTCTTGGGCGGGTGGAGTCATTTAGCGACTACAGGTTTGTAACTGAACATCACTATCCACGATATACAATCGCGGGGTTTGTCTTCAAGGGATAAATTTCCTCTAGCATTGGAGCACCAATCAAAATTGGGAGCCCCTTGAATGTCGGTACCAATCCACTTTTTGGATGTTGACATCCTTGTTAACCAGTCAGTGCGATAAGGTCAACAGTAACCTAAGAGCTGCCGCTTTTCCGTGCTATCCAACGGCTATGCCGACGATCGTAAGGGTATTGATGACCATTGATCAATGAGGGCTGCTCTGGCTGCACGGACAAAGGCTGTTTTTGGCGCCCATTCGGCCCCATCTGGTCACCCTTCTATGAACAGTATCATCTGTTGAGTCTATCTGAGGTCAGAGGCGAACGTTTTCGATGTCACGATTATATTTTGTCGTACTTTTTACCTGAGATAGATCAGGGGTGAATTTTTTATGAACTGGCTTTGCTGTTTTGTCCTCTTTTGCCCTTTTACAATGAGCTTGATGAAAATCGATTTCTTTGTTGTTTCTGTCGTGACGGCGCTTGCTCTCCGTCTTACAGTGTGATAACATAGCTCATCTGCTCCTCCTCAGCAGCTTTACTACTATTACTATTCTACTTTTATTGTACCTTCTTCTAGAAGCAACATTTTTTATTGGATATGCTCACTATTCTGAATTGTCATGGTTCCCTTTCTTGGACTGCGATTTACCTCATCCTACTGATACAGTACTCTTCGGCGCTACTTTTGCCAGGGCACGTCCCACAATCCCTATGGGGAGAGGGGTGGGGGTCGTACTTGATCTGAGATAATTTTTTGGAGTTGGTCCACGAGCGCTGTCCACATCGTTGTGGGAATTCCAGTGGAGGTGGTGTCCGGTTGTTGACTTCTTCGCACTTTTTTTCCCGTTATATGTATATCCTCTCCACTTCCCCTTTCCGTCCCTCCGCTCAACGGCCAACAGGGCACATCGTTGTTGGGGAATCCCCAATAGGGGGGGGTCGTATTTGGGCTGGGAAAAATTTATTTTGATAGTTGATTTTTCTCGCTTCACGGACGTTGTAAGGGAGGGGGGTCGTACTTGGTCATTGTTGGGAGGGGGGGGTCGTATTTACGTTTTGGCGTTGTAGGAGTGGTGGTTGACTTTTGGTGATTTTCCTGTTTCATGCGTACTATATACCCCCCCCTCCCCCGCTCGACAGCAAAATTTTTGGGAAAAAGTAGGGAAGTTTTCGGGAAATTTTGGAAAAAGTGGCAGGAAGTTGGGGAAAATCTGAAATTGGTAGAGGGGGGTCGTATTGTCTCGCGGCTTTTCCTGTTTCACATGTGCTATTTACCCCCCCCGCTCGACGGCTCGATTCGATGAGGAGGGACAGAGGGCCGGAGGAGGAGGGGTCGTACCAACCCCAAAAAAAGGGGGGGGGGTCGTACGGACTAGACTAAAATCCCCAGCTAGTGATGTGCCCTGACGGCGAAATCTCGGGGATAAAGTGGAACTTGTTGGGAATGCCTGATAAAGGAGTAGGAATCCTGGAAAAGTTGGCATGAGCAAGATAGTAGGTAGGATGGGGGCAGGGGTCATGGCAAAGGATGAAATTGGGGAGTCGAATTTCCTGAAAATTTTTCCTAGGCCGTAGAACGTTCCCTGATTTCAGATACGATAGAGATTTCGTGTGGAGCACCCGAACAATTTGAAGCAAACAAATTTGCTGCTATTCAACTACTACTATTATACTTTTAACACGCACACGCAACACGCAACACGCATCGTCGTTGAGGGTCTCCCTACAAGGGGTCAAATTTAATCCGAATTTTTTTTTGGTAATTGATTTTTCTTCCGGGAACGCCATAGAGGAGGGGGTCGTATTTCCTTCTGGTCTTCTGAGAGTTTTGTGAAAGGTAGAGGGGTAGTTGACTTTTCGGACTTTTCGTGGTTTTCCCCTGTTTTACTGATGAGCACGGAGGGAGGATACCATAGTTGTCTAGTTTCCGTCTAAGGGCACGTGCGAAACGGAAACTAGACTACTTCCTTGAAATGAATAAAAACAAAAATTTAACTAAAAAAATTCAATATTTGAAAATTATAACAAGTATAAACTAATTAAGTATAAACTAATTATATCACATTCAAATCACATTAGATGTACTATGTACCTCCCCCCTCACCCGCCCTCGATGGGGAGGTAGGGTCTACGGAAAACTTGAAATCGATCCCTTTGAACGCGCCGCGTTGTGATTTCGCACATCCCAGCTTTTCACCGATTATAAGAAGCTCACCCACCCCGGAGTCCCTCCCTTAAAAAGCCCGTTTCCTGGCTCGCCATATGTTTCCTGCACGTTTCGATGCTTTGGCAGCTGCTGTCCTCTATTCATCTGCGTTACAGGGTTTGTAATAGGACCTGCACAGAAGTTCAAGATGTCATGTAACCTCACAGGATTCCTTGTAAACCCGCATTGTTGCCCCGTCACGAATACGAATTTCGCTTTCACACTGGCGCCATTTGGCGGCACCACTCTTTTCACTATCTAGTCCTGATCAGGAATTGACATTGACACGAGATCGCTGACCGCCTGCGTTACAAACGACACCACCACATGCCTGTTTTGGCCCTGGCGCGTGCCGCGCAGACTCCTGGCTGTTTCATGCCAGGTGGTGTTCTAGGGCAGTTAAATAAACACGGCCAGACCAGACGTTACAATTTATGGTTGCTTGCGATAGTTTTGAAGATGTTTTAGCTTGATGAGAGGACAGAAGCAGTTCCGGTCGCCTAATGGATAAGCAACCTCACGGAAAGCGGGAAATGCGGGCTCGGGTCCCGCCCTGTGCTCTGACTTTTGCCTTTTAACTCAGTACTCCTAGGATAGCCTGCGATAGCGATGTTTATATTTGCTAACAGGGATACAGCATTGTGATATGTGAAATGGTGGTGTCAGTACGACCCTCACCAAATTCCCCAACACCTAGCTACCAATTTCCACCCAAAGAACTTCCGTCGAGCGGGAAGGGGGGTATACACCAATGTCAAACGGGACAATCTCACCACTTTTCCGGAATTTCCCGAGAATTTCCCTTCTTCCCTTCTTTACCCCAAAAATTTTGTTATCGAGCAGGAGGGGGGTAAATAGTACACATGAAACAGGAAAGTCACGAGAAAAGTCACGAAAACTCTAAAACAGGGGAAAACTTTTCCATAACACGGCAAATTTCTCTGAGGCCTCATTCGACCCCTCCCCTCACCCAACAACTTCCAGACACGACCCCCTCTCCCCAGTGGAAAAGTACGACCCCCTATATGTGCAACACAACGACTCTGTACCCTGTTTGAAGGCTCATATTTAGCAGAGGAAGGGTGCAGAGAAACACAGCAGGCCGCGCTGTCGTGTACCTCCGCTAAAGCTCCATGACACGCGATCCACTATTCCATGAGCGAGAAGTTGAAGGGTGCGAGGGAGCGATGGACATAGAAGGCTGCCTAGGTAAAGGAGGCAGAACAAAGATGATGTTCAAAGGACGAGCGTCATCGGGCCCATTGCCGCTGCGCGATGACTCATTTTTGCTACTCGCTTTCTCACCCCTGCTAGTTGGGTTTCGCTGTTCAAAAATGTGCCGCATTTCACAGGGATGGTAGATTTGTGATCAACCTGTTCTTTTCTGGAGTCAGACTTTTTGAAAGGAAGCATGTATTACCTCACAAAGCCAATCACGAATTGTATTCGAGCTCAGTATTCGAACTCAAGCTTCATTCATATCAGTTTTCACTGGGAGTCGTGCAAGTCTCCCATGAGGTCAGGTCACCGCTATCTCACCGTGAGCGTGTCTAATGAAGTTACTCTGATTCCTTAGTATCGTTTTACCTAACTGGTTCCCTAAATCACTGTAGTTCAGCAGTGCTATTGAGTCAAGTAAGTTTCTGAATTTATCCCGCAGAAAAGTCGAACCATTCTTCCGAAAAGTTTTTAAGGCGCTCCGGCCGAGGCACGTCGTATGCAGGGGAATCTTCGGGGGGAGGGGGGGGGGGGTGTCGTCATCGATGGGAGAATCATTGGAGGTATCTGACCTCCCCTCTGTACGATGAATACGCTCCCAATTGTTGATTTTTCGTGTTTTTTGATCTTTCGTGTTTTCTCTTCTTCGCACGTGCTACATCCTTCTCACCGCTTACAATTAGCGGCAAGATTTTGTGTAAAAACTGGAAAATTGCTGGAAAAGTGGTATGAAGTTGGGAAAGTCAGTGAGATGGTAGGATGGGAAAAGATTCGTACCGAAGAAAAACATTTGGGACGTCGTATTTTGCGGAAATCCCCCCTCCCCCCTCCCCCCTTCAAACGTGCCCTGTCCACAGTGCCATTTAAATGAAAAAGTAGAACAGTCGATAAATGGTTCATAAGTTGGTCAATCATATAAAAGGCCTATTAAAAGTGGGCCTCGGCATCATCTCAATGACCGCAGTGTTCGGCAGAACGCAGTATGGTTGGGTGGGTGAATCTACCAGAACTCCATCGGTTGCGATGAATTTCTGCTCATTACGCCCCCCTGTCTTCAGAAGTGGGTCTCGCTACGACCCCTTCACCAGAAAAAAAAACATAAAAAGGACAAAAAAGTAGATGATGTCGAAAAAACGCTTATTTTAGTTATTAGCGCAGCAAAGACTGCGTTTAAAACGCCTTTTCACTTTTGCACTGGAGCGAGCTATTTCGCGGTATCTTTCCGAAATAAGCCAGGAGCTCCGAAAGTACTTTTTTGAACATCTATAATTTTCTTGTGAGTGGAGCTTCTGAAAAATTCAAAGAGGGGTTGTGAAGCACTCGGCTTGTGGTTTAATCAGATATGCTCAAATATCTTTGAAATTTTCCTTTTTGAGGTAATCTCCCCTTCATGACACAGTTGTGACTTTTTAATATCACCTACGGGTTTTCTTGCTCTAAACAGCCATAACTTTCCTCGAATATGATCTCTTAAGAAATCAAAAACGGAACGGGAATCCAGAAGATGCTCCTCTCTGCAAAGTAACACCTACCTTTTTCTCATACTCGCCATTTGAAGAAAAATCCCCGTTTTGATTTTGTGGTGACAAGTTTCGGACGACGAGAAAAAACCCACGCCTCTGGCGCAGTACCATTTCCATTTAGTTTGAAGACTTGCGTACGTCTCTAAATCACATCTTTCAGCAGGAATTATTAGGAAGTAGTTAATTCGGCGCGGAGTGACACCACCAATGTAATGCGCCATGCATCCGACTCCCACGCAGAGATGTTGGAAAGGTGTGACTTCCACATAAATCTTCGCACATGTGCTCCTACCTACGGTTCAGAAGGGTCCGAGCGTACATTGTATTTTTTATCAATTCGTGAAGTCGTCGTGGGCGCCTACCGTTTTTGTCACCTCCCATTCCTCATTTCCGAGCTTCCAACTTGCCTCTGTTTTCAGGTGTTCCTCACAGCAGGAAAGATAAATGAATCTTTTGTTAGTCAGTGGTTGAAGGACATCTCAGTATTGCTGCTCTTCCCATTTCCGAGTGAGCCCTGCGCTTACAACCCCTCGCTCTCCTTCACAGTCAAACGCGACCCCTTGTGATCTCCACAACGTGCGCTGCTTACAAGCTGAGTAATTCAAAGTGCTGCGGTTCAGAGTGTTTTCAGAATACTCCGATGGTCACCCAGCCAGGGCACATCATTGGTTGGGGATTTTAGTCGAGTACGTACGACCCCCTACCCTTTGGGGTGGTACGACCCCCATCTTCCTCATCGAATCGAGCCGTCGAGGGAGGGGGGGGGGTCAAAATAAATTTTCTCAGCCCAAATACGACCTCCCCCTCTCCTGGCGGCCAAATACGACCCCCTGTTGGGAATTCTCCAACAGCGGTGTGCCCTGCTCCGCACCTATGAAGGACTTTATCGAGAGACTTGCCACATACCTATGATCTAAAGTGCCACAAATCTGATTGTCGTCCCAATTTTGCGGATTTTTTTCTGTTTCGGTAGCTTTCTTTAGTGAGTATTATTGTGGATGATAGCAAACGTAAGAAAATCTCGCATATATGTTTAGTAATCTCGGTATCCTTCTGGCTGCCACACTTCTCTTCGTTTTACATATATTCGAACTCGAACCAATTATGTCGAACATTATTTTTTCCCTTTTGAGCGCTTTTCTTGCAGGAACATTGCTCGTTGCTGATGTTGGGCCGAATGAAGATCGAGGAGCTAGTGCAACTGGAAGCTGAGCAGCGTCTAGACGAGCTGCGTTCTATCCGTAATGAGCTTGCCATGTTGCATCGTGCGATTATGGGCATGCAAACGAAGTCGACCACCACCGAACAAATGATTGCCCTTCTAATGGGTGAAATCCGGGACCTAAAGAAGCTTATTCCTACGAAGAGCGCAGCGGTTGTGATGAAGGAGTCAAGCTGTAACACCGAAGTTTTTGTAAAAGTTGATGCCAGCACCAGTAGTGGAATCACGCTTTCGAATGCATCCACGACGACAGAAGAAGTTCGTAAGAAAAATGTCGCCCTAGACGTCAGGCCGACACAAGTGAACCGTTGGCGTAAAAACCGATGTGATGGAGACTAAAGACGCCGTTGTTGATATGGGGATCACAACCGTAGACGTCTGCACGATGGTGATTCCATCTGTACGAGATGTCGACGTTTCTGCAGTTCCAAGGATGAAAAACGTATCTACTAACACGGTGGTAGAAGTCCGTCACCGACCTGCAACTCAGAGTAATGCTGAGGTACAAAAGCGTCGACCTTCACTCATTTCACAATACGGAGCTCACTGCAATGCGCCAGAAAAGTCGACAAAATCCGCTGCTACAAGTTTTTCTCCCGTCTATGCCGCATCAGAATATCCAAATGAGAAGTATGGACAAGGAAAAGACCAGGCCTTTGATAGCTATGAAGCCCAGGAGAGTCGAAAACGCAGACTCTCCGGAGGAATCACAGCAGTCGAGCCCAAGAGAAGTCCGAACAACGGAGGAGCAGCGTATGAAGATTATCGAGAAGATCAAAACGTTTGAGCGATTCATTGGAAAAATAAAAAGAAGAAGTTTCGCCGAAGGAGTCAGTCCAGTGCCTATTAATGTGCAGTGCATCTTTTGTGGAAGGAACGATCATTTCAATGACAACTGCCCAGTTGTGCGATCGGCGACGGCGAGATTGAGCTGCGCGCAGAGGATGCAAATCTGTCTACAATGCCTTAATGAGTCATGTGATGGTGGACCATCATGTCCTGGAAAGGACGTCCCATGTGTTTATTGTGTGGGATTCGATGTAGTCAACTCCAAAACCCATCACCGTTCGTTTTGTGTTCGACCAGAACATTACGATCAATTTAAGAAGCAACTGGATGACCTTCATGAAAAGCTTAAGGAGCTAGATCGCCAGTGAGTGAGCGACATCGCTTGCCCAGTTCACCACTCTTTCACATATGGTTTTTTTTCTACTGTTATCATCTCTACTTTGCAACAACTTCATCTCGGTCTATCGCCATGGCAGGAAACTGGTTCAGACTTCCTGTGTCTACCGTACTCGAATCAAGCAAGGAACACCACAAGGTGAGTTAGTGTTCATAGAGAAGCTGTTCTACTGCAGAACGTTGTGATGTGAAAATTGACAAGTGTCCCCGAACGACCCTGCTTTTCTGCATTGCTACCTACTGGTACACCTTTTCATGGGTCCTTTAGTATGACGGAGTGAGATTGTGATTAGGACTGGTAGGCGTTTCTATAGACCCTCAAAACATGACCTCGCCAGAAGTGAGAGGCACGCCTCGGTTAGGATACATACTACGGTATCTAGTAGCAGCTGCACATGATAAGCGACGACAGCTACACTCAGGGTACATCATTGTTGGGGAATCCCCAACAGGGGGTCGTATTTGGCCGCCAGGAGAGGGGGTCGTATTTGGGCTGAGAAAAATTTATTTTGATAGTTGATTTTTCTCGCTTCATGGACGTTGTAAAGTTGTAAAAAGGGGGGGGGGGTCGTATTTCCTCATTGTTGGGAGGAGGGCAGAGGTCGTATTTACTTCCTGGCCTTTCTAAAAGTGGTGGGAGTGGTGGTTGACTTTTCGTGATTTTCCTGTTTCATGCGTACTATATATCCCCCCCCCCCCTATCCCGCTCATCGGCTCGATTCGATGAGGAGGGACAGAGGGCCGGAGCGGTGGAATTAGCTTACGTGGATAGAGTGAACTTTGCGCTACTATCAAGTTCATATTAATGCGCTAACCTGTGATATACTGTAGATGGTTATTTCAAAGTTTGTCTGGATTTTGAATGGCTAACTTTGGGAAACCTTTCTTGCCAACACCCAGTGTCCTACTGGTAATTGCCTCGAAACCTTTTCAGGGAGTTATTGACACATCATCACACAACAATGTGGTTGCCTTCGGAAGTGCTGGAGAAGTTTTCTTCAACTTTGTTATTTCCGAAGTATTTACGGCGAAACCAAGAATATCGAAGTCATTAACCAGAACCGAGTACAGCTTTGTGTATGATGAGGTCTTACCTTGGTGAGTATTATAGGAATAAAAGTGTCCATCGCGACACTAACACTCAAAGTCTTTAGGCGCAAAAAACGACACATCGCCAGAGTTCACTGCTTCACCCTATAAAGTCCTGCAACCAGGGATACGTTGTCGGTCGAGCAGTCGTTAAGATTAGGTAAGAATTTTCAACACCCCTCTAAAAAGCTCTCCGCCTCCACCTTCTAAGTAGGATCTATTTAGCGTACACTATCAGCTGGTCCGCAAATACAAGTTATATGTCAGTGAAAAATACCTGGTAAAAACGCCCCGAATTTTACTCCCAAAAAGGCACTTTTGATCTTTGTAGGCGGACGTGGTGTAGTGATAAGCGGCGCGCTTATGACGCGCGCGGTCCTGGGTTCAAATCCTGGGTCGACTTCGGCCGAGACCGACCGAACTTTCTATCCTCTGGGGACGGTAAATTGGTACCAGATTAGTTTGGGAGGATAAAACACTGACTTGTAGATCGGCTGGCCCCTCAAGTCATTGGTCATTGTGTAGCCACATCGCATTCAAAAAGCCACTACGATTTTGAATGGAAGTAGAATGCGTGCCGCATCCCACAAAGGGATTGATCAACGGCGAAGACTTTATCCTTTATTATTCAATGTTTTCTAGAAACTTGCAGGGAAACGGTGATCGATGACTTTCGAAATGCCTTGCTGGCAACGTGAGGTGGTGACCAACACCTAATACTCGTACATCTTCTGCTGTTTTTCCATTCACTGTTTTTATCACTTCCTTGCTTTACTAAGACATTTTAAAGACTTGTACAGTTAGCTTCAAAGTTCTAGTATTTTTGTTTTAAAATAGAGATTTCTGCACTACTTATAACACATATTCTCCCTTGTTAAACGGGTTTTGTCATATGAAGCACCAACTCTTCATAACGCTCCGAACGTTTTATAGAAATTAATGCTTTCCTTCATTAACTTCTATCTTATAGTCACCGCTAGGCGTTCTGGCTGTAGCTGTGTTTTGGCTAGAACTCTCAGTATGTACTTCTACTGCAGCTTCTGTTGTATAACTCCAGAAATCTTCATTATCTAACTTGAACACAGGCCGCTGCCATTTTTGAGAAGGCTCATTTTTTTTGCTCATTTTTGAGAAATTGTTCGTGAATGAGGAGTGTTATTCGTGAGAACAAAATCCCTCCCTATCCATGAGAAGGGTAGTTAACCGCTATGAGTAAAATCATTAAATGTTCACTTGACAATGTTAAAATGAGTGTTAATGTTAGGAAAATCATTTATTGACTTCGCACATCGAGAATGAAACGTTGGACCTAGAATTCTTTTCCATTAGGAGGTGAAAGTGACACACTCATGGCAACATTCCGTCCGTTTACCAAACCACAACCCACATCAATCCATACACCTGCAAGAACAGCCACAGCTGTCTTTGAAAAGGAAAGATTAAAGAGATTCAGTAGAAGTTGCTGGTACGTTTACTTGAAAATGTAATCCAACGAAACGTACTGCTTGAATGTCCAAGGTGTTCACATGTACCGTCTTTCGAAGCGGTATCTGCCACCACAAGGCTGTTGCTGTTGGCGAACATCTTATCTAGAGATCAAATAACGCTCTGATTTCTTTGGGATGTAGAAGATTCGCTACAAAGAAAAACCACTAACCTTTCAATAAGCTTGCCCAGTTCCTTTAAAAGGACTTAGGCGTTTAAATAGGATGCATCTACCAGCGTCTACCAGGCAAGAAGTGAGATCCTGAAAAGGTGACTCAGAAAAACTGTTCAAGTATTATTTCAAATCTAGCAGAATCCGCGAATCAGCTTTCATATACGTATCCCATTTTGCAAGGTCACTGCAGTTTTTAGGTGAGGCACCGGCTCCATGCGCGTACGCGGCGCGTTTGACGTCACCGCGGCAGCAGGGCGGAGCAAAAGCAAGGGACAATGGCCTGCGCCTCCGCCACTGTGCTCCAGTCAGCGGTTGCTTTTATGTGGAAGGAAAAAAAGAGGAACAAGAAGAGAGAGAGAGAAAAAAGAGCATTGAAAAAAAGAATGGACGCTTGCAGGTGAATTAGTGATAGTGGTGAGCAGAGAATACAGAAAAGTCGACTATCAAGGCGAATTACTTCAACCAGTAATCCCTTAGACTGCGAAAACGACCCAAACAGCTCCTACGCAAACTTATAACGTCATGAGGTCACAACCAACTGTTGGGAAGTCGCCTAACCCTCGTCGTCCTCACCTTATAAGCGTTTGCGTAGAGTTGTTTGGGTCGTTTTGCAATTGAAGGGGACTACCGGTTGAAATAATTCACTTTGATAGTCGACTTTTCTGTATTCTCTGCTCACACTACCAATAATCCACCTATAAGCGTCCATCCTATTTGTCCAATGCCCTTTTCTCTCTCTCCTTGTTCTCCTTTTTCCTTCCGCATAAAAGCGACTGCTGATTGGAGCACAGTGGCGGAGGCGCAGGCCATCATCCTCGCTCCGCCCTGCCGCCACAGTGACGTCAAAAAGCTGCGCCGCATACGCTCTCAGGTGAGTTTTCCCTTCACCGAGAAGCACCTTATTAGCCAGAGGAATTTTCATACTAGGAAAGGATGTTTGGTCGAAGTGGCCATTCAAAATGAGATGTATTCTGCCCGATGCTTGGAAGTTGATTACAAATCTGCTTTCCATAACTGCTTAACGAATCTCTGAGCAAAGTTGTGCAGGTTTTTCTACCAGTCACACCCATTCTCAGCATGCAAAAACCCCGAAATTTGCTTAATCTGGAGATTTTCCGATGCACTGAAGAGTAACACTGCAGTCGTTTTCAAAAAATATCGTGTTCGTATTCCGGCGTCATCAAGGAATAGAGCGACTCCGCGCTAAAAAGGACACGATGTGCAGGAGCCGGAAGCGCACAAAAGGGCGTTTGCGCCAAATGAGTGTGATATTTGTTCCTGGGTCGAATCAGCTGCAGAAGAGACCGAGTTGTTGGCCAAATCTGAAAACTCGACCGCTTTTCAAAATAAGGAATAACCATGGACAAAACATCCCTCGAGATCGCTGGCACTATCCCCGACTGGAATTTCAATGGGCAATGGAGCATTTCCGCTAGATTTCAATTCTTGTTGGTTACTGGCGGCCCTGATCACAAATATGACATTCATTTTTGTCCTCAATGCCTTCTAACGCCAGGCTGGTTACACAACATAACGCAACGAATACTGCCACCGAAAAAAAGATTGGAAGTATTTTTCGGGAGTCTTCCAGATGGTTCCATTCGTTCAGAAACAAGATTTTTCCGGTAAGTTCAGGTTACCTACCCACCTATAAGTGTTTTTAGGATAGGGTGAGGACATTTGAAAAAATGCTAAACAGTGGGATTACGAAGAACCTTTGAACCATCCAGCTCACCGTCACGAGCATACATCTCATTTCAAATGGCCAATTCGACACACCATCCATTACAGATTAGCTGCACTCCCTGAGTATGATTCCTCAACGTGCTCCGTACGAACAAAACACGAGTGCTCAGATCAAAAATCAGTGTACATTCCCGGAAGACATATCCTTGTATATGAAAACCTGGAAGAATATCTTGACTTTGTTAGTAAGTTGTGCGCCCCAACATTCCAACAGATCAGACCTATCGGAAGGTAAGGGCCTTGATTAGTGATACAAAGAAACGATTACTGAAAACGATAAATCATTTGCGTGTTAAAATGGACAGGTCCGCAGCTGCAGAAATAAGCCAGTTGCAATTCGAACGAGGGTACGGTGCGTTGAAAGATTATCTGCGGAGATCATTCGGTGCCCTATCACGATTATGAACTTTTTTTATTGCTGGGATTTCGCACTTTCCTCCACGACCTTTTCACTGAAGACGATACCAACTTGCATTAGGGGTTAGTAGATGGTCGTGACCACCCATACGACGCTCACTTGTAGCGTTAGGCCAAAAACTGTGTTAGAGATTAGTGTTCTGCACGCTCACATAGAATCTAGTGGCAAAAACTGGCCACACAAAACTGAAGCCGCCACCAAAAGGAAATGGTTAACTTCTAATGAGAAGAGTGGTAACCTCAGCATGTAAGATTATATCGATTTTCGCGGAAAATGTGTCGCCAAAAGGCGCCAGCGCCAAATATGAGACGTAGTTTTCGTGGTTAGTCCAATAATCACTTTGGAAAACTCAAACTTTTCAGGTGAATAGTGCCCTATTTCATTTTCTGCAGCAATTTCACATATGAGAATACCGCCAGTGTCCTCTGGAGGATTTACAAGTACTTGTAGAACGTTTTAGCCGATTTTCTATCCAAGCGTCGAATTATTCTGACACACTCCCATTGGTGAGGGGCACTTCGAGATAGACCTGCACCAAATTTTCAGCACTGGCAAAGGTCTGTCTTGTAAAAAAGACTAAACTCTGAATCAGCAGCACGTGCTGAAGAGCCAGTGCAGTTGGATCCATAAGCAGTGCCAAATCCTTCGCATGGTGATAGCTGCTGTGTTCTTCGCCTTAACGGCTGAAGTAAAACAGAAGCACGAGCGGGGAGAAAACGGCCATCTTTCAAGCGTAGCACCCAAACAAATGTTACTTGGGATTAGGCTCTGTTTACTGGTAACATTGGACCTTACCGTCCAGTTTAAAAGAAATCCATCCGCTGTTACACCAGCCGTAGCAAACTGTACACCATTAATTAAGATCGTAGCCATAAAAAGCAACGTCTGCTTTGGTGCATGGTGGATTTTTCGAGTTTGTGACGAGCAACTTTTCTTCTCCGTGACATCGGCAGTATGCAACAAGACAATCAAACGACTGCGCGCCGAAGAAAGACTGCTTATGTGGGAAGAACTGCTCCTGATCGCAAAATGCGAATGGTGGATCAGCATTTTGGGAAGAGTTGGGAGCAACGGTATGAGCTACCTCTTTCAGATGATAAGAGCAGCCTGTTTCAGACACTGTCGCGCTCTTCTTGCTCTGTCGGTGCTCTCCATTCAGCTCGCAATGGCCTCGTAACGGAACACTTTCGTGCTTTTAAACCATATAAATCTTTGCTTTGAAAGACCGTTTAGGGCTACGGCTTTTCTGCCGAGATTGGCCGTACAACATTTGCTTTCGGCTCCCGAATAGTCGCTCAAGCGATGCATGAACATAGCTCCGCCGCATTTTTTTCAACAGGGGCAAATGTCGTGGTCATCAGTTTTTGAGCTCCAGTTCACACAATATCCAAAGGTGCAACGAGCACTACATGCGCGAATGAAATCTCCATAGAGATAGATCACTATCCGCTATAATTCCAGTTGATATTGCGCATGCAGGAAGAGGCACGTCCTCCTTCATCCGTTCCATTTCCGGTAGCAACAATGCCCTGTAGAAGTTACCTGGAGCGTCAAAACAGCAGCTGGAGTTTACCTCCCACAAGTTTTGAAGGGAAACGAAATCAAGACTGGGCGGTTCTCCAGGGGGTTCCCAGCAAAATTGGAGTAGGGAAATGCGGAAACCTAAGCCAGCAGCACAGCTTCTATAGCGAAACATACGTGTTTCTTATAAGTCCGTTATTTCCTCAGGAATATGGAGTTCCTTGCTTCCATTCAATAAGGACTCTTCAGAGATAGCGCATCTATTCGCACTGGATCACAGAACGTCGACCGGGTATGCGACAAAAGAACCGTAATGTGCCATGGGCGTGGTGAGCGAGCGCAAGCGAGAGACGAGTTGTCCTGCTCGGTTGTTGATTGTTGGAGGGACGAGAAAGAACGATATCATCGCATGAAGTCTTCCCTCCGCAAGAGTTCACATGAATTTCGTCGCCCTAGTGGACAAACGGATGTACATCAAGAATTTGCATCGCACGTGATGTGATGCGCGCGACCGTGCAAAATTATGATTCTCCTGTCCATGTCTGAAGCGTCCAGCAATGTCCATCGGTTTTCCTTCCTGTGTAAACTTTGCTGGACCGAAAAGGCAACATAATGAATATTGTGGTGTATCCTCCTCCTACTATAGGGCCTGTCTGAGAGTGGCAGTTCAGAATTACAGATGTTTACGAACATCTTTTCCTGCTGCGTAATCCGAACAATGTAACGTAATCCGAAGGAGTACTACAAAATCAGGCTCGTTGTAGGGCAAAATTCAGCGCTCTGATGCCGTTCAGAGAACACTGTGAGAAAAATCGTTTTCGTTCAATAGCAAAAGCTCACCTGAGAAAACAAACGAGCGTATCCATCAAGCGGATATTGCGGTACTTCACGACCGGAACATCTTTGCCAACTTTCACATGGTCCGTCCAAGGAAACAGCTTGTGTTGCAGCGGAGTGAATACAAAACAAAACACAACAAAAAGGTGGAAGTTGGGAATAAATGAATGAAGCACGATAAGGAGATGTGCAGCAAATGAATTAGATTAAGAGCGAAGATGCAGATCGCATCATGACAACTGAGAAAGAATGAATCTGGCGGATTCAAGCTCCGAAAAGCGAAGCATTTGATTGCTGGACAGAAAAGAAGATGGTCAGAAAAAGAGAGTGCAGGAGTAGTTCAGAAAGATTCTTCAGGAACTTCCTTGAACAACTCATCGAGATTCTTCTTCCATGTGGTATTACCGATGGAAAGAGTAGCCCTGAATCCCGACACTTTCGCCAAACGAGAGCTCGTCCACTTTCCTGTCTTAGGGTCTTGGGCAACAACTACATCTCCCCTTTTCAGATGACGTTGTTCACGTGGCGAGAGGTTACGCAGAGTGACTCCACCAACTTGGACTCGAATTTCTTTGAAAGGTACGTCCTCCTTTATTCCATACTTGTAAGTATTACGAATTCCGGGTGACCTTGATCGCGATCTCCGGGGAGAAGGGCGTCGCTCGCGACGATCAGGACTTCTTCTATGCCTTACTTCTCGATCTATACTTCTGCTACGGCTTCTACGTCTTCCAGAAACATGGTTCTCCTTCACCTTTAATTCCGCTTGATTCAGAAGTTCCTTTAACTCATTAAGGTTTTTGTTCTGACTTCGATCCATCATGTGTGCTCTGTCACCAAGTTCTCCTATCATCCGGAATGCCCGAGATTGGAAGATAGCTGCTAGTTCAGATTCACGGCAATTGGCGCTGCAATGTCAGACAGGCTTGTTCGACATCCTTGACGAGAAGTTTTATCTCCTCCCATTTCGAAATCCGGTGCTGAGCTATAGGCAGTACCGTTGGCTCCACCATTTTCTGGCATTATCGAAGAGGGAGCAAATGGGGAAGAAAACGGCGGTGCTGTATACGGAGCACCGTATTGACTGTTGTGGTAAGAAAAATTGGATAAATAGGTTGTCGATTGTGGGGGAATGAGCTTTGTTGCTGTGCTCGTGCAAACTCCGCTTGCAATCTAGCTCTTTCTTCGAGCTGTACTTGTCTACGGATTTGCTCCTCCATTTCTCGTTTCTTCAATTCTAGCTCCATTTGCATTTTGCGCTCTAGTTCCTCCTCCCGTCGCCTCAGTCGTTCCTCTTCCAACCTTTGCGCTTTCGCTTCTAATTTCGCTCGCAACTCTTCATCACTGGCCACTCGAAACGGCTGCTCCAACGAATGTGGATTTACAGATGGTGGTATCAGAGCTTGAATAGGACCCTGTACTCCCGCACCGGCAAATAAGGAGGACGAGGATGAAGCATCGATGGTGCTTGAGACTGCAGTGATTGCGGCGGAACATTATTCCTAGTCCAGCTGTCACCCTGCTCCGATCGTCGCAGCATCATTTCTTGGCGGAGCAGCTCCTCCCGTTGCTGAGCTATTCTCTGTTCTTTCTCCATTGGCGAATAGTGTAACGGATCCCTGTCAACGGCACTGTATCGCTCGTGCACCACATCAGGGGGGCCACGTTCGTCATGGCGTATAGTCCTTGGTTCGCGAATCGGTTCTGGTGACCTAGCTGGTCCACGATCTCTGCGATTATCTCTACCTTCGTGGCAGTGCCTTTCTGAATGGCCATACTGCCTACACTGGCGACAGAATTCTTCCCTTTTGCGAGTGTCAGTCGAGTTTGTTGGTGCTCCGTTGAGTGGCATCTAAAGTTACAACAACCATTGCAAACTGCCTACTTACAGGAAGAATATAAAAATAAAATAGTTCAAGTTGCTATCAAAGAGCTCTAGCAAGCCCCACTGCCTTCTCTATAGATAAAATTTTAACTAGAACACCACAATACTCACCGGAGGACATGCGAGCTCTTCTCGAGCTCGATCAGGTGGTTTTGGGCAATAGATGTCCTGCACAACCTTTAACACCAACCATAAACATCAACGCATAGGCAAAATAAAAAAAAAACAAGATAATAATATACAGAGTGGAAGACCGCCTTGAGCTGTTCCAAAGTTTCCGGCTTTAATCCTCTAGCCGTATTAAGATCCCATGGCCAGGATCCTAAAGCATCATATTCACGAGGAGTAGCCTTCCGGATGGCTCGCTTGCTGACTAGATTAAAAAATATCTATTCATAAAGCTTTAAGTATAGCTGGTGTACAGGTAAGGTTGCGAAAACTAAGATCAGCGAAATTCAAAATTGTGTGTCGTCATACAAAAACTCTTACAAGTTGAGGCAAATCAATCTGAGGGTCTTTTCAGCTATGATACCTCAAAGACAGCTCCCGCGATAAAAGTGTCATGGATAGTTGCTGTTCAATTATGAAACAGTAGCTCATAAGTGATTCCCCAAAGAAGAAAAAAGCAGGAACAGTCCTCAAGAACACCATAAACAAAATCGTTTCCTTACAGTCACACTGCCCTGCGGTCTCTGTGCAACTCCTGGCTCAAAAATCCCTTTATCACATCTCCCAATAGTAGGTGTCATCTATGCTCCACGCGAAAAGAATACGAAAAACAACAGAAACATGGAAGAAAAACTTTTGAAAAGAAAAAGATACTTTTATAAAGTAGGCGTCTCAATTTAGAGTTACGGTAGCGTGCATCTTTTAGTGTGGTGTGGTGCGTCGAGGTTTTGCACCACGAACGTTGGTCGCTCGTGATTTTCACGCGTTTACCTTGCAAAATGAGGTGGAAGTGACTGTAGGTGCTCCTTATGAATAAAATGTAATAAAGGAGAGCAGAATCATTCATGGGCACGAGCGCGGTCAGCAAAAAGGACATGCAATTCCGATTAATGCCCGCCGCCCCAACAAAGAACAACTGAGCTCCGTCAGAGGGCATCTAGCAAGTGGGCGGTCCAACTGGGCGGGCGTTAGAACTAGAACTTTCAGCGGCTGTAGCTCGCTCCTCGCTCGCTGTGGAGTCGCGAGAGTGGGATAGTCTCTAGCTTGGGGGCTGAACTACTTGCACAAGGACGGCCCAACTCGAGCGCGAGGGCTGCCTTCAACTATCTTGGGTGATTGTGTTACCGTTCCAGGGCTTAGTTCCAGACACTACGGCCTTGAAAAAAAAACAAATGACAGGTAATGCGCGAGTTTTCCAGATCCGACGATAGACAGACTACCATTGATCCAGTGGACTCTCTGGCATGTTTCTAGACAAATACGGACTTTCTAGCTGATTGGGTCTACTTTAACTTGACAGGGAATGTTTTGATCATTTGATAAGAGAATATGAAGCTATCTTCACTACATTTCTTGCAATTATGCTGCTGTCTCTATAGCTTAAAGACAAAACACACGCTCATCTACGAAGTTTTATGTTATGATACTGCTGTTTTATGCCGAAATTCGCGCTTCGAAAGTTACCACAAGAATGCTGAGTTATGGGCAAAGGTCGATCCCGCACCTCATGCTTTCCGGGCGAGTCCTTTACGCTATCAGGGCCGCTCTTACCCTCTCAGCTCAACGGCTTTTATGCCGTAGCCTATCAGCACTCTTGACTTTGCCATCTTGTGGCATCTACACGGCGTATCGTTGGCATGTGAGGGGTTGGCATGTGTGTGCCAGCTGTCGCAGCGTAATCATATCCCCATCCAAACTGCGCGAGGAAGAGAGATCCAGGACCGCTGGTCAGGCTAATTTCTCCAGAGTCCGCTTTAAAAGCAACATTTGCCACAGAAACGCTGCACGCCCCTACCACATCCCGGCCTCATCTGTTCCGACCAGCGTTCGCACAACGTGCGTCGCTTCTAGCGCTTGGGCAGGTCTCGCTGGTCTGCTTTCGAATGCAATTAGAATGCAAACTTTTGTGGAGATGACGAATGAGTTGCTTATGCTGCAAATTGGATGAAGACGAGGGTACTGGTTCAGCAATATATTAGGTCATCCCATTCAAAAGTGCCGTGACATATAGAGGAATGGCAGAAAAGCAAAGGGGATAGGGAAGCGGGCTACTATACCATTTGGAGGCTAGTACCTTCAGCTGTCTGTGAAATTTGGCGAACCTACCCACAGAAGAAGTTCTCGAGAAATTGAAAAGAAGCCCGAGTGGTGAAAATCAGCGCCCGATTTTCAAATCAGACGTCATAAGAGGGAAGTGCGCTGCTCAAATTCGACCGGCGCCGGACCAGTAGTTGTGTGTAATGGTGTTCTCGATATACAAGGTGGAAGGTTTGGTTCAGGAGCCCGAAGAAGGAAGAAAGGAAAAATTTGTTGTCGTGGATGGTCCCATAATGTTCATCCTGCACAAGAAAAAAAGGGTGGCCCGACTTATGTCCGATAAACTGAGGATGGTCAAGAGGGTGTGCGCATGGGTACCTAATTTTCTTGTAGAAGCACGAACGCAGTACCGATTCTATGCCTCTAGCAGTAATGTTCTCAGCATGAGATGTCATTCACAACGTCATTCAATATGGGTGGTCTTGGACCTCGAGCCAAAACTCACAATCGTCAATTTTGTATGAATGCAGATGAGAAGCCGCCCGAGTTCTACCATGAGGAGTTACGTGGGCGCAAGTGGATGATCATCATAGCGAAGGATTCCCACACTGCTTTCAGGCGGCTCTATACAGAGAATAAAATCGTCGCTGTCGGTGTATATTGCCTGTTCCTCGGCAATCAGATCGACAAATGGATGATACCACACAACTACAAGAAGGCCACCGTTGCTCGTCATAGTGCCAGACCCCGAGTAACTGTATTGTAGATCAGTGCTGGGACACAAACAATACTGAGACCTGGGTTCAATCGCCCCATTCGCCCAACATAAAGCCGTTCGATTCCAACTGTTCTGGTCAGTCGAGGGTACTCTCCGACGGCAAACGCTACAATGTTTTGTCATTCGCCGAAATTGGCATCAACAGCAATTTACTCGCACTTGTTGAAAAATCGAAGGTACCAGAGGTCCAAAGGCTTTCGGGGCACTGGGAGCGGGTCATTGGTGAAGGAGGGATTTACTAACTTGAAGCCAAAATATTACTTTTTATCTATTCTCCTCTTTGTTTTATTCGAATAAAACCGACGGCACTTTTGAATGGGATCACCTAATATATGCTTTTCAATTCAAAATAAGTAGAAATGGTAGTCAGCTGCTAGGTTTTGAAAGGGCACAAAGCTTGGATAAAGGATCACTCATGCAATGAACAGTATCTCAACGTACCTATAGAGAGTTTCTGATCCACATTAGCAAGCGCATCCATGGCCAAATTGTAGTCTTTTCGTGGAAGTTCTCGCTGAACAAACTCGTTCGAAATATTAAAAACTCAGTAAAACAAAGAGGATTCTGCGGATTCTTGGAAGGCCTCGAAAACCTTTTATCACCAGCGACCCTGAACTCTAAAATTGTGACGCTAATAATAACAAAACAACCTTACTTTCTTGAAGAATGGATGATTCGCAATAGAAGTGTGTAGATCTTCTGAAATCAATCCGATTCGTAAGCACTTGTCTACGAGGTCCTTTGCTGCAGCTGCCCTTGCAAGGCTGGGTCTGTAAAGAGGATGCTAGATTAGCAAATAAAACCTAAAGGAAACGATTCATACTTGTGTCCGAATCCACTTCCCGAAGAACACGCTCGGCGGGAACCCTCTAATAATCATATCGCAATGAAGAAGACTTTCTCTTTCGGTTACGCCTTCTGGCAGAATGATGCGTTCCCTTTCAGCGGGTGTGGTCGCTAAAACGAACCAGTTAAATATGGATTAGCTGTGTCTCTACGTACAAAGACCGCGTTCAGACTTCGCGCCGCGATCGGATCGCTCGATTGGAGCGCGCGACCGCGATTGGGGCGCTTCACCGTCGTAATGGCAGAATTTAAACTGAGCCGCGTTCACGCAGTGCCAGTTTGAATTGTGCCGTAGAGGAGGTGCATCGTTGGCAGTGGAGCGTCTAACCCTGTAAGATAAACCGCTTGATGAACCGTTTGCTCGTATTAAGATAACAAACGTAAGTACGTACGTTAAAAATTACGTAGGCACGTACGTTAAAGACAGAAAATGGCCTCGCGGCCATACGTTTTGTGTTATGCGGTACAAATACGAACATCAACGTGCTGGCATACTCTGGCGTTAGCGCTAGTTCAATATCCATCCTTTTCTAGCCGCTGGCGTACCCTCGAACGCTGCCCAGCTCTGACGCTAAGTATGAACGCAGTCTTAAACGTAGAAAAGGATTGCTGAGTAAGTGAACAAAATGGTAGCAGAAAGAGTGAAAAGACGAGTTCTCATAAGGCACCATATAAAAAAATAGCAGGGTGGCAGGAATGAAACCCGGCGTCAGTCGAGCAGCGGTTTGTGGAATTAAATGTGATTACTGTTGGCAAATAATGATTTGTACAAGCGACAAAATTAACTCACGGGTGATTGTTTCCAAGATTCGTTTAGGTAGAGCAGCTTCATTTTGTTCCAGAAGAAATCTGTTGTACTCATCAATGAAGTTTCGCAGGAACTGCAATGAAACGGTAATATTTTAAACACTGAGTATATTTTCCACCCTATAAATCAATTTAAATAAAAAAAATCGAGGAGTATTTCAGAATAACCGCGGCACAACAGGTGGTACATTCCATTTGAATCACTCCCTTGATGGAGCACTTACAGCACGGTCAAAAGTGTTCGGCCATTTCACGCGTAGAACTCCTTTCGCGCCTGAGTAATCCCTTCCAAATTTTGATATGCTATACCTTGCTGCCAGTGAACTGCAGTATTTGTCTCAGAATACGATGCGCGCTTGGCTATTTTTTTAGCGGAACGACCAACTTGTATGTCTACAAGGTTACCATACTGCCCCTATTGCCTAGAGTAGTTTTAGGTAGATTTTTTTGGTGCCAGAATGGAAGTCCAATTTTTGCAGTGATTTGGAAGAACAGTGGAACCGGGGACACCAAAAAAGTTGGTTTCGAAGACTGGTAGATTACAATTGACACATCCGCCAGATAAGGCATTGTTCACAGTCTGCGGTCCAGCGTTTCTCTGGAACGCGGCGGTTCGGCGAAAAGCTTTCGATACGTATCGACTGGCGGTTGGGCGAAGAGTCTGGCGGTTGGGCGAAAGGGTTTTGATACGAATCGACGGGCGTTTCGCCAAACCGCGACGTTTTTCGCCTTCGACGAAACGCTAGCTCGATCGCCCTGGCGTTTTTCGCCAGCGAAATCGATACGCATCTATTGCTTTTCGCCCAACCGCCGAACCGCGGCGGTTCGGCGAAACTAGCGGTTGGCGATTCTCCGATCGATGACTATTTTTTGCTTTTCTCCCAACCGCCGTTTCGTCAGGGTCGCAGACTGTGAACAATGCCTGAACGCTTCACCCACGGCTCATTGCTGCCAAGCCAAGGTCAACAGCATTAGTAGATCGTTGAGAATGCTTGGGTTACATAGTGAGTATGCGACCAGAGAACTGCTGCCAGAGAGTCGAAGGGTTGAAGCAGGTGTTGGTGTCCACCACCTTCGCGTCCTCTTCACCACACACACAGGGAGTGCACACATCACCAGGGGAGAAGCGCCTAACATACTCCAACTTTTATTCAAGGGCGCGTTTACGGTAGAATTCTGCTGAGTACACTTTTGCTATAAGGTAGGAATTTCTCTTGACTTCAGAACACGCCATCGGAACCTCTAGGGTTGGTTGTGCGCTGACGGGGTAGTGGTCTATCTACGTCGTCTTCTTCAGAGGCTCGAACGTGTTTCGAGTTGCCCCTCAAAGACAAGTACTACAGTTTACTGGCAAAACTGATAGGTACAACATACCAAAATTTGAAAGTAATGCCTAGGGTAAGAAAAAACTTCATGCGCGAAAAAGCGTTTGGGAACACTTTTGATTGCTGCTGTACAGGAAGGGAGAAGGAAGGCACTTTTTTCTTCCACTTTCAAAGCGGGTTAGGTTACACTTTATCAGATTCCGACTGAACATTTTCACCACTAAATCCACAACACATTGTACGATCAGAAACCCCGCCACAGCCCTCTGTATGAGCGTCATCGAGAGCGCCACGCGACTGTGATTCGGTGCCTCAGTTCAGCGCGGTCCTTGATTTCTCCGCCGCTGTAGACCACCCTCTTGAGCTCCGCCCGAACCCGGTAATCGAGGGGGTTTAGTTCAGGTGGCACGCTTAGATATCCGTCTTTCTCCAGGTACTCAACGCACTTCGACTCCAAGTAGGAGTTTTCACGACGGTCCAGGGCAACCAGATGAAGGCAGGATCCTCCTCGAGTTGGTCGATGTAATCGTCAGCGTTCACCTTCAGCCCCGGGGTCCACGAAGAAAATATCATGTTCTCATTCCAGCAACCTCCGGTCCCTACCATCAATCACCGCCTTGGCGACTGCGGTGAACATCATGTCCTAAAGCGTGGCGACGACGTCGCTGGAGCTACTGGATGTTGAAGGTTTTCCGTATCAGGAGTACCGGTCCTAAGGTTGCACTGCTTATCGGCGAACATCTTAGGTATCTTCCGCCCTGGTACTTGTTCCCACTTCTTCTCTCTGGGCTGCGATTTCTTTACTGATATGTGCCTCGAGCAAAGTGTCTTTTTTGGCCCCTCCCTGTATATCCTGCACATGTAGGAATATGCCCTATTCAAGAATGGATTGAAGACTTGACGGGAATTTGAGCTTTGTGATCAATATATGGCACTAGGATGCTTTCAAAATCATTAACTTGTTAAAGACATGGAACGTTTCTTTGAGAGTTCGCCTTATATTGTAGAAGCACGTACCTCGTAGTAGTTAAGATATTCGAACAGAATTCCTTGTCTTATTTCATCCTCGGGAGGTAGAAGTGGTGCGTCACTGCAGAAAATCAAGTTATTGATGAGGTACGGGGAACACAAATGTTTGAAATCTAAATGAGCAATGCAGAATACAGTCGAGACCATGCAATAAACAGGACTGCGTGCTGGTTAAAGATGACAACATTCACATCGGAGATTGCCAGTAAAAGTGACAGCATCAAAGCCTGCCACAGCTACATGAAAGAAGTATTTCTATAGTAGTATGCTCAGAATCACCGTCCCAGTTGTTTTGCCATAGCTCGACTGTAGTGAATAGAAGTGTACACTGAGATAGGAGCGAAAACGTAGCTGTACCTACCGTTCTACCGGTCCCCTAATTTGATCATGATGATGATCACGACCTCGATTTCCATGGTGCGCTCGCTCGAATTCCTCATCATCCGATCCATAACTTAGTTGCTAAATTGTAAAATAAAGTTTCCAAATGATGAACAATTGAACTGCATTCATTCTACGTGACTTTAACAGGTTACCATATCAACAGGTTGGTTGTCGTGACGTTCATGTTTCTCATAGTTTGTAGACGACCTCTTATCGTGGTCGCGACGATCACGGGAATCACGAGAACGGTACCGCTCTGGGCGCCTGGAACTTGGAAAATTAATCAAGAAATGTCATCGAAAAGATCTTCCTCTCCACCCCTACTTCATAATAGTTACGAATTTGGATGGTGTTCTGTGATCAAGTACGGGTAAAGAGGTGTACATTCATGAACTACTAGCCGATAAGTGACTCCATAGTAAAGATAAAAGTAAAAGAACTCAAGGAAACACCCTAAGCGAAACCCCTCCCTGACAGTCGCACAGCCTTGTTGAACGAGTTCTCCGGATTTACTGGCATCACTCCGCCCCCCCCCCCCCCTCGCATGAACCTTATTAAACTAGAACGGTAAGCAGTGCTTGACGAGCTTCCGCACCAATGCGATTGCATCACTGCTGGATTGAGGCAGTGCCACAACGCATCTTGCCATGCGAAGTTGTCTGCTATTGCTAGCTTGCTTTCGAAAAAATGTCCAGAAAAAGAGCAGAACAACTCCCGAGCTCGCAAAAGAGTCGATAAGGTGAGTCTTTCGAGCATATGAAACCGTACTACGACGCTCCAGGCAACAAAAGGAACCCATGTAAATCATCGTGTATAGTGTAGTTCGCTGCGGACGGTTGGGCGTGTCAGTGCGGCTGCGTTTGGCGCGGTGCCAAACTCGTTCTCCACCAGTTGTTGAAGCGAGCAAGTGACAATACTGTATCATATCGTTCGTATTACTCGTTTTCTACCACTTTTTGTCGCATGCGCGCTTCAACAAAAAGGCAGAGAACGGCTTTGTTGCTGTGCACACTCATTCTGGCTGACACGCCCCACCGTCCGCAGCGAACTACAGTGTAAGTCACTGCTTTGCAGAATGAATAGAACAAAGGCCGCAATGTAATCCGTCTGTATATCGCCTTTCGGGAAGCGGTACACTCTATGCGAGTGCAGACCTGGACGCGACGCCAAATGCAAGGAACGCACTTCGCGTACCACTTTGTAGCGGAAACTGTGCTTAAAATGGCCTATCGCGCTATCCTTAGCACAGCAAAGAGCTGACTATACAGGTACGATGCCGGCTGATTAACCACGCACGTTTAAAGACACGAATACAATAAATCACTCGCATAAACTCGGGAGTTTAAGTATTATTGGGTAGATGAAACTCATATTTTGAATCTAAGGGCTTAATAGCTAGCATGCTAGATGACCTGAAAGTGATGAAAATAGCCGCTAAACCGTACCCTACATGACGCTCAAAGATTGAGAAGTTTCAAAAGGGACATTCTTGCGCGTGCAAGAGACTAGAGACAAAAGATTAGAGGACAGGAGGACTAGAGAGGCGAGGGGTCGCATGCAGAGTGAATGACACATACAGTGCGTAACAAAAGTATGTGGACACCCCAAATTTTGATTTTGCGAAGTTGCCTTTGGATATTGCGATCTGAGACCATCACTGTTAAATTCCTCATAAATTGTTAAATTCCTCATAAACGAAAGTATAGGAATGCACTACCTCTGAGCACATTGTGAACTATTGAGCAATGATTTATTGTTTTGAAAAAATTTCTTAATAACAAAAGTATGTGGACACTTAACAAAAAACAAAAGTATCATGGAAATTAAAACTTGGTGCTCCCTCCCGCGTTCACTATTACTTCGAACATTCTGTCTGGCATGCTGTGGACAAGATTTGTGATAGTGTCTTCGTCGATTTCCTCCCATGCAGCCACTACCGCCTCCTTGAGGTCTCGCACGCTGTTGTACTGCCGATTGTTCATGTAAATTCGTCGAACCATAATTCCCCACAGGTTTTCGATTGGGTTGCAGTCAGGAGAACATGGCCAATCCATCACTTTGATACCATTGCGTTGGAGCCATTTTATAGTAGAATTTGAAACATGCACGGCGGCGTTGTCCTGCTGCAGCACATGTGTCCTGCGTCGTGGCCCACTCAGAAAAGGCAAGAGGTTGGATTCGAGCACTCCTTGATATTCTTGACTGTTCATACGGCACGATGGGAAGGCGAGCTCCAACTTTCCGCTGATTCCAAAACCACCCCACATCATCAAAGAGTCGCCTCCGAAATTTCGCCTCGAGAACACCAACGGATCGCGACGAAGGTCTCTCCAGTAGTGCCGATATCCATCTGGACCGTCGAGATTGAACTTTTTTTCATTGGTAAAGATAACCTAAGAAAGAAAAGCGCATGAGATGTTGTCTTTCTGATTTTACAAATCTCTCAAAAAACTTCACCTTGTCCCACGACGTCGCCATGTTTGCACGCGCGAAGTTCAGTCTCGCCAGCCGGTGTTGGGCAGTCAGGCGAGGAGCTTTCTTCATGGTCTCTCGTGTGATATGCTCATTTGATCGAATATAGCGCCATATCGTCATTTTTGAGACCGGTAGATTCACTGCAGCATGGATCTGGAGTTTGAGGCGACACGCGCTATTCTTCTGATGTCTTTTGCGGACAAAGATCGAGGACGCCCCGAAATATGTGCTGAATGGTAGCCATCAGGATTCTGGAGGTATTTACCAACGCACGTCGCCGAACGTCCGAGCTGTCTTGCAATTTCTCTATTTGAGTGTCCAGCAGCACTGAGAGCTCGAATCTGAGATTGTTCGTCTTCGGAGAGAGTACTGCCACGACGAGGCATGAGTACAGATTAATGGGGAGCAGAGACGATAGATATGGGTTGCAGATTTGGAGTCAAACTTTGAACTTTCTCAGGTGTCCACATACTTTTGTTATTAAGAAATTTTTTCAAAACAATAAATAATTGTACAGTAGTTCACAATGTATTCAGAAGTAGTGCATTCCTATACTTTCGCTTATGAGGAATCTAACAGTGATGGTCTCAGATCGCAAAATCCAAAGGCAACTTCGCAAAATCAAAATTTGAGGTGTCCACATACTTTTGTTACGCACTGTATGTTCACAGATATGGGACCTCTGCACGGCCCAGATGAGTGAGGCAAATTCTACGGGTGGCTGACGATCATGACCATCGCAAAGTATTTGTCGACCCGTGAATATGGAACAACTTCTAGGATTGCGGATTTCGTCTTCAGGGCATAGATAAAGGTGGAAAACCTACAAATCAAATAGTTCCATAATGGAAGCTAAACAGATTAGAATTCCATTGGTAACCGATACCTCTTGAGCATGTTGCGCGCATTTATTTCAGCTCACAGTTTTGGCGGCTTACTGAATGCGAAATGGCTTCCACAACGACTACGGCTGGCCATAAAAGTGTGCGTTCTTGGTTTCCAGACATGCCTGGTACCAAACGCGACTGGTACCAGGCATGTCTGGAACTACTTTGACTTACAGACTGCGCGCCTACTAAGATAAGCGGCCTACTTGTTCGTCTGCCTCCCACTTAGTAATAGTTCGGTGGCGATGACCGTAGGTGGCCAAGTGAGTGGTCGCTTCTTGTGAGATGAGCTAAACATGGACACTCGAACACAGGTAGCAGACTCCGTGATGAGCCGGCCTACGAATACCCCATGTCGCACCCGACAAATGTGCTAAATGTTACGGCTTCGTTTAAGCTGACGCGCATTCGCAAACCCGGTGAGTGTGAAAAGTATGCGAGGGTCCTCGATGCGAGGACGGCATCTGGGACAACCAAACTACTTGAAGGCAGTTGGCACGATAAATCCTCAAGATGAGCAGGACTAATACGCCTGGCAGGACGGAATTCCGCGACCCTGAGCAGGCGCTGCATAATGCCTTTTCCAAGGAAGGTGCCCTTATAAGGGCCCTATCAAGCCACAACTTTACGTCCCAAACGCCCGCCACGCCCGCCCGCCCACAAATGGACGACCGTTCCTGACGCTCTAATCGATTCATTTGCTAAGCAAATTATGAAGCGAAGGGATTGGTATGAAGCGGCGTGATGCTGCATGGATATATGAGTACACATATGCAGCCGTACCTTCGGTAGCGGTTATTGGCAAGATGCCTACGGGAAACTCGTCCAAAATTGATTTCAAGTCATGAGAACGGAGGCTTTTTCTTCGCAGGATTTTGACCGTTTCACTCCGTTCTTTCGCCATTTTCCCACTATAGCGCCCTGCTAGCATTTTAGGCCAAGTAATAAGTTATCGTGCCAACTGCCTTTAATCCAAAAATCTTGCAGTGCTTAGAAGGTCCGCGCTGCAACGCTCGTTGACGGAGCGCTCATATGAGCTGGCATAAGCGCTAGCGCACAAGAATCGATCTCTGCCAGTGCCGGTGACGAGATGGGTCTGTTGCAAGGTGAAAGAAATAGGCCGCGGCTTTAAAGCCGTACTCTGTGATGGGCCGAAGACTAAAAAGGTGTGGCTGTAATAGTGTCTCGCGGTTCACTCTCTCGACTACTACTGCAGTTGATTTGACGACGGTTTAAGAGATTGTTGTTTGGATGCCCGAGCTATTCAAGAACATGTCTGAGCTCTGCTAAATGAGAATGCGGCCGAAGTACCACGATAAGACGCTATTATTGTACGATTTGACAGCTGACGTGTGGAATTCTGCAGATTGATTGACGAAGCTCTTCGAGCAGATCGTCGCAAAGAAGAAGGTGAACAAGGGGTGACAGCAGAGCACGACAATTCCGATCTGGAAGAAAAAGGGCAGCAGACAGGTTTGTAACATCATACGACATTCTGTTAATCAGTGTGACGGTATAAAGCTGAGGCAACATTGACGCCATACTGCCGCTCGCCTTCTGCTGGAGAAACACCGTGAGAAGCGAAAGCCCGTGCATGTAGCTTCTTAGACCTGGAGAAGGCATTCGATCGTGTGCCGCGTGATGTTATATGGTACGCTTTGAGGCGGCACGGCGTGCCCGAAGAGCTAACTGAGTGACAGTGCGCATCCTTTCATGGCTCAGGGAAAGAGTTCGCTTACCAGGGGGTGTACCAATGGATTTCCCCGTAGGGACATCAAGGCTCTGCGCTCTTCCCACTTCTTTTCGTTGTTGTCATGGATGCCATCTCACGGGATCTCCAGAGAGAAGGTGCCCTGGATTCTGCTTTACGCTGATGATGTGATGCTTGCACGAGAAGCTGAGCACACTAGGGCAACAAATGCAGGTTTGGGTTCAGATTAAGATGAAGTGCTTGACAACCGCCTAAGCTGTACGGGTTCCTTAAAATCGAAGGGATTAATTCACGCGTACAAACGCATTTAACTATCTAGGACCAGCGATTACGTCCGACGGGTCTCAGCTTGGAGGGAACGCAAGTGTTAGTGCAGCGTGCGAAATGGCGATCAATGTCTGGATTCTTCAAGAATGTTGAGAACAAGAAGATATCAGAGCGCATTAAGTCGAAGATGTATAGAAAGGTCGGTCGTTCTAGACGGCGCTGAGCGCTGGCTCGCGACCAAAGAAGTTAAAGCTCGCTCCGCTGTAGTAGAGATGAAAATGTGACGTTGGACGGCGCAATGTAATACGCAGAAAGTTTGGTATAGCTCCTATAGCAAAGAAAATGCGAGAAGCGCGCCTTTGATGGCACAGCTACGTACTTCGCGCAAAGGACACCGCATGTAAGACCGGCTTCAGTTTGAGGTGGCCGAACACCTGCCCAAGCAACGTCTCAAACAGCGCTGTCGATACGCTGCATGTGGGCTTGAAAATAGATCGCTCCCGACCGATCCATTTGACCAGGAGAAGTGGCGTCATCATAGCAGAGGAGCGGAACCTGCCACCGTGCGGTACAAACGATAAAGAATAAGAAGGAAAATGTTGCAAACAGTTGAGCCGCCTTTCTCTGGTAGGTAAATCACAATAACATAATTCTAAGGAGTAATGTGAACTGCTCAGTGAACCCTGAAGAAATAGCATTTGCTCCAGAGATTTTAGCTCCCACGTCACAATCAAAACTGCACCTGTGCTCGAGCTTAATCCCACTACCTATAGCTTGAACATACCTTTCAGAAGGACGCGTAGTCGGTTCGGCAATGTAACGACGACGATCCGGTCTCCGCATCGCCTCCTGGAGCTGTGACGAGCTAATCGCAAAGCTCTCAGTATAACAACAACCGCAAGAGATCGAATCCTCACCAAGCCAAGCAAAAACGAACGCTGCGTGTGGACCCACGCAAGAATATTGGTTTTAATACCGTATCCACCTCCCTGCGAATCTGTTGGAACGGAGCGCGTTATCCGCCAGTCTCACCTTTGAAGAGGGTGCGCATTCTTTTCTTTTTGTTTTTTGTTTTTATTATGATAATTATTTTTTATTTGCTTGCACAGGGCTAAGGCAGCGTTCATAGTTCGCGACAGCAGCGGCGATCGCCGCGATCGTCGGTGCATGGCAGCGCGCGCCCCAACGCTATTACTTGCGCTCCGAAGGGATGTTACGTAAATACACGAAGGGTAGCCGTGTAATTGCACACATCAGGCGATTACCGTAACCCCAAATCTGTTTGCATTCGCCATGGAGTGCAACTGTGATGCGATAGGTTAGTCATTACGTGTATTAAGGGGTTCTTTATCAAGATAGATTTCAAGAAAACATCCCGTAGCTAAACATTCCGTACTACTTCTACTTTGGTAACTGGTACGGATCTTCCCGTCTCTTATCGGAAGAATTGACTTGAAGAAATAAAGAATTGTAGTATTGATGAAACGAATTGAACGCATTAGTTTGAAGATGTACAGGATTTCGGGAGTAGATCGAAAAATGACCAATGCTTCTCGTCACCAGGGACCACTAGCTCCATCAACGTGGCCAGCGAACACTAGCTATCTTTGAAGTAGGCGACTCCGCGCGCTAAGAGGGTACAAGAGGTTCGCACAGCGTTGGTTTGGGCCATGACCGATTATTGGCGGGCTGCTACGGCATTTCAAAGCTGCCCTACACCTTACATCAAGCCAGCTTAATTCTAAGCTTTGGAAGGTTTACGGTGCGGTCGCACACGTCGCATTTTCATTATGTCTCCAATATCCCTATTCATGACTCCTAGACTAGACGGCGGTGGACGCGTTCGCTACATTGAGATCTTGATCCCTAGCCGCTGACGCTGCCTTTTGAAACGAAAGGTTGGTGCTTCCTTTCCGAGCAGAAGCAAAAGCAGCACCCGGAATTGGTGTCTGCGGTAGTGATCTTTCTCTTCACTGGGACAGAGAAGCCGCGTGGAAAGAACGTTTGGCCATGAATCAGACCCCGCATTACAAAAGGAAAATCGCATCCAAACTGAGAATCACAGAGGAAATAGAGACCTCGCAAGATGAGGAAGGCGTCGTTAGATGTAGGTCTGTTCCAGCCGCTGATACCTCATAGTAGCGGAGGAAATTCAAATGCCTTCGTTCAATATACAAAATGGATTGGAATGAAAATCATGTATAACCCTCCAAGAACAAACAGTGCGCACGACACAGGTGCTGAAAGACAAGTAGGATACCCTACGATGTCAGTGAAACGGCTGATCAGACAACTTGTTAAAAACAATACTCTTCACGAGTGAAAACCGCAAAACTTCGCCGTTTTTACAAAGGCAGAGGAAGCATGAAGTGGTTTCTTGGAAGCGATTATAGCGTAGGATCCATTTAATATATTTTAAGGTACATTATGTTGGTAATTATTTGCCTACGTAGTGACCAACCTATAGCACCCTCATTTGCACTCCATGGGCGAATGCAAACAGTTTTGGGGTTACGGTAATCGCTTGCGGTGTGCAATTACACGGCTACCCTTCGTGTATTTACGTAACATCCCTCGGCCAAGGCTTCTGGGGGTAAGCGGCTCAATTTTATGCTTTTTTCCTTTGACTGCAATTTCCTTAGGTACTGAAGCTTGGTTTGACACAAGGGAAGGCGAGCCCAGCTTAATCGCTTTTGTTTTCTATTTTCTTTCTTATTTAGGATAGAAATGAGCAAAAAGCGCGAGAGCTTCACTTGAGACACGTTTTTATTGCTTCTTTTTTCATTCGTCGAGGTTGTACGTGAGGTTTATGAAGTTTTCACCTGTTGATGTCGCGTAAAATGATTAGTGCTTTGGTTCCTAGGAGAGTTTCTTTCCATTTCGTTTTTTTTCTTCGTTGTTTGAACTCGAGTTGTAAACTATGATGTGGTGTCTAGGCGGAAGGGTGGCGCCTTTATGCTATTCGAGAGAGAATTGTTCTCCCTCTTAACGGTGGTTCAAAGTAGAGTGAGGATAAAGTTTATCCTTATAGCACAAAAAAGCGTGTGGTCGTGCTCGTCGACCAAAACCTAACTGGGTACTCGCCCCGCCCCCTTAGGAGCGGGTGTGGTGGCGGGTTCTGGCTCAAAGGCCAGAACATATGAATGTTTTGGAAGTTGGAACAGCGAATTCCTGAGGCGCATGCATAAGTTGAAACAATAAAAACAAAAAAAGAAGCTCACCCAGGAAATGGAGTTGGTCTTACCCCGACCTAAAAGGAAGTGAAACCTTCTTACCTCATATTCCAGATCTGCTTATGTGTAGAAAGTCGTAGTTTGTCTGTTAGTAGCCCTTATTAAGAGTAAAGAAGGTTACAAGTTGAATTCCCTTATTCATCAGGCGAGCATCCACAATAGCGTTGGGGCGCGCGCTGCCATGCACCGACGATCGCGGCGATCGCGGCGATCGCGGCGATCGCCGCTGCTGTCGCGAACTATGAACGCTGCCTAAGGTGAAAGGGCATATACTCTAGTTCGCTGCGGACTGTTGGGCGTTTCAGGCACTGAGAGCGTTCACACAGTCGAAGCCGTTCTCTGCCTTCTTGTTGAAACGCGCATGCGACAAAAAGTGATAGATAACGAGTAATACGGAGGATATGATACAATATTGTCATTGCCCGCTTCAACAACTGGTGTAGAACGAGTTTGGCACCGCGCCAAACGCAGCCGCACTGACACGCCCAACCGTCCGCAGCGAACTCACTATATTTGTGCGGTTCTCGTTCACAGTTGTAACGTTAATTTCAGCCAGTATGCAATAATTGGTCCTGAAGAAGCTCCTCGTATGAGGACATGGATTTTCGCAGTGGTTCGACGCTGATTCGATCGCGAATAGAGGAGGTGCTCTCGCGACATGCTCATGATGATCAGGGCACACCAGGAGCTTTAATAAAAGTTCTACCCGTAGACCCTGTCATCCAAAACGGACCCCAGTGAGTCTTTTCCCTGTGGTCAATGCTAAGCCATTTTTCGGCGCATCGTGATTACGAATCTGTTCTCTTCATCTTGGTCTGTTCATTCATTTGTTGCACTCTTTATGCCTGCAATAGTTTTCGCTGTAGACGCTTGGGGGGTGACGAGGGGCTAGTGGCGCCACCCCATTCTCTATCACTTGTGGAACAGCCAGTCGACAATAACTAGTGGAAAACGAGGTGGCGCCGCGCCAAGCTTGCGGTCTCCCTTTTCCACTAGGTCATACGTTGTGGCAGCGACCACCAGCATCTACCAGCGACCAGCGTCAGCGACTAAGGAGGGCCACCATAGCGGTCCCAGCAAAGGTGCGACATTGGTATCAAGATAAGATGTAGGCTATGGGACAGGAACACCATTAATGGGTGGCAGGACGTGTTAAGAACTGATAAGATCTGATGAAGGGAGTTAGAACTCAGGCGTCGCCTGATTCGCACCCCCGTCACAGTGACAGTTGGAAGATGGTTCCAACACGTAATATAAGAGATGTGTCGGGGATATTGTTGATCGGTGACAGAGGGTTATAACAACTGATAGTGGCTGATGAACGACACTGCTGCTCATTTTTCTTCACGGTTGTCCGTCTTTCATACTACGAAATCATAAGTGTTTAGTCACTGGTGACAGGGTGAAAGGTGACAGTCTACTATATCCGTTCCATACCACTCTACTTCTAGGTAGTAGGTGCCGCAAGCTTATTGTATTGTGAATCTATTCCTTCACTGTATGTCAAGCGGGGAGGCCTATGATGTGTGTGAAAAGGGAAAATTCAAAAATTTGCAGTCAAAAAATGATCGCTTTCTGCTGTGTTTTGAACAAAAATGATGTTGCCGTTTTTGATAGCTGCCACTCTTTCTTTTATTCTTTTCTTTGTTTTCCATGATTTCACATAAATAAAAATCGCCATAAATCGTGATTCACAGCAGTGAACGTTTCGCATTGCTGGATCACCCCAGGCGCGCAGTGGGGTGCGCCAGCCAAACCGATCTGTAGTAAGAGCAGTTTTTACTTTAAATTTGCGTGCTTGATATCATTTTCAGATGTGGGCTGGTTGCACTTTCAATGGCGGCCCAGCTCCTCAGCTTGGAAAGAAAGGATGTTTCGCAAATATTCGATATAGCTAAGAAGCTTGGATTCACTAATCAGGGAGAGATGTTTTCAGGTTAGCAAGCTTACAAAAGAGCTGACATGGGTCTTGGATTGGATTATAATGCCAGTGACCGCCACTTTTCTGACGATTTCTTTCTTCTCAACCAGAGTCTTGTTTTTTTTAAGCAGAATGGTTGCGTCAATTGGCTTGCTCATTGTGGCCGATACACTCCATGGTCACCTCTGTTCCTGATGCTTCCACGATGATCAAATGGATAGATGGTGGTGCTGCCCTACTGATTGCCTACGATTGTGCGAAGAACTACGAACCAGCTATGCGAAATGGACACGGAGCTCACTGGGCTTTGCTGGTTGGTAATTTTGTGATTGCCCCACTCTAGGGCACATGAAGTTCAGTAACTTAGTTTTTGCTGATAGCGCTGAGCTTCACGTGGAAATCATATCAGCAGCGGTGCCACGATCCCTAAGCTTCTCAGTTTTGAAGAACTAGCGTGTTCTGGCTTGCTTGCCCTCCCTCTAAATTCAGGCCGGATTTCGATCGAAAACATTCGTAGCGGGCGTAGTTGGCTTGAAGTCCCACTGTGTTGTTTGAGTTCTGCACACCATATGAACAAGAATATCGTGTTTAGCTCAAAACTGCCTTCGCTTGTCAAAGCACTTGGAAACATCACATATGCTGACAACTTGTCTCAAAGGATGACCGCATGAGCATAAATTTTACTTGTTTGAGAAGAAAATGCCTGGAACAGGCGCCGGCTCCTGTACCTGACATGTGACCTTGGCCCGCGTGTTTTCACATCAGGCGGACGCAGTATTTGTGCTCCGGTGGTCAGAAAACCGCAGAGGACAGAACGTTGGGGAAAGCTACCGCTTCAGGAAATTTCAAGCAGTTCCAGAGAGTGTAACGGGAAAGGTAAGTAGTGACTATAGAGCACGTATACTCACAAGGTACACACCTGTTATCGCCAAACACTATCAATACTCATCACAAGAATGCTGAGTTGTGGGCAAAAGTCGTGCCCCAGGCGGGAGTCGAACCCGCACCTCACGCTTTCCGGGCGAGTGCGCTATCCGTTACGCCACCAGGGCCGCTTTTACCCTCTCAGCTTCAACGGCTTTTATGCCGTAGCCTATCAGCACTCACACGTTTAACTTGGTGAGCCGGTCAGCCGTAATCGTTAGATATCGGCAATGAACCGCGAGGCCTAAGGCTTTAGAAATTTTGAAGTTTTATATTATGATAACTGCTGTATGTACCAGGGTTAGCTTTCAGAACGCGAACTGCGGCGTAAAAATAGCAGTTATCGTAATATAAAACTGTGAACACTTGTACTTTTGCCTACTTGCTCAAAGCCACCCATACCTGATGATTGCCGTAAATCTTTTGGCTGGGACCATAATGGAAGTCTGAAACACGTGTAAGAGGGCGCTACAGAAGCGACGGTACAGCGGTGAAGAATTGTTATGATCAGTGATACCAGGCTACAACCATGTTGCTTCAGGTTGGGTATCTATATGTGGATGTGAACTCGACTGATATTCGCCCTGCTGCCAATGTTGTTGTGGAAGATGAAGGAGCTGTGTACGTCTTCGCATATCACGGCAAGAGCAAGTGAGCAACACATTTGATTTGATTTGATTTGATTTATTACATGTACACATGTACATGGAATATTAGTAGGTACAACCAATTTAACACAACAAACAACATATGTCCGTAGCACTGAAGTATCACTCAACGAGATAACATAAAAAGAGAAGATTGAACAAAATGGTGTAGTCAGAGCTATGGCACCGAAGCAACCTCCCAAGGATCAGCAAAAAAAAATTTAGAAACCATAGAAGCTCTCATTTCAAGTAACAATGCAAAGCCCTTTTGAGCTGAGCTAGGCTACCGGGCATGATGTGCTTCTTTGCAAACTTACAGAATTCAGTAGAAGCCCTCACAACAAAGAACTTTGCTCTGACATTTGATCTAGCCCTAGGGAAAAGGAGTTTAAATTTATCCCCTCTGGTGTTGGACGGACAAAGGGTGAGCGTGCCTTTTAAATGAACCACGATCTTCCTGTCAGTACTTTGAACAACGTTATAAGGTCATTCTTTTTCCTCCTTTGGAGAAGTGATTCGATTCCAAGCATCTTATTCCTAACAGTACTTCTTGGTATAGCACTGTAAACGAACCCCAGAGCCCTGGTTAGAACTTTCCTGGTGAAGCTATTCTGCACAGATTCCAATCTATTAATGGCCCTCCTGCTATTGGGGTAGAAGACAGCAGATCCATATTCAACAATAGGACGGATATATGCCTTGTACGCCCTAATGAGTATGCAAGGGTCTTTGGTATGCAAGCCTCTCAGGAGCCAAAACAGCCTCTTCTCTGCTTTGTTCGCTATTGCCATACAATGGGAATTAAAGGTCAATTTGTGATCAATAATGAAACATCCGTTAGTTGCTTACATTTTGTGTAATTAATGCGAAATTAGACTTCAAATTCAGGCACATGGGGCTGTGGTCATACTCCAGCCTACGTCAGAGCTCTTTCAATTTATTTGAAGCTGGACCACAGCGGGAGGCACCCGACTTTGTTCTACCACATGATCACCTCTGTCAGCTACGAGGGAAATGTGTTGTTCTAGAGAAGGAGGTTGCCAAATTATAGCCAGCCATTTTTGTACAACTGTTGAGCTCGCCACGTTACTCGTTTTCTTACTAAAAGCTCAGTGGACTTTGTGACGATGTCGCGCGATTGCTGTTGCGATGTTTATAGTTCGATACAGCGGACAGTTAGCAGGAAAACTGGAAACAGGTGATAGTAGTGAGGATGGAGTAGGAATTAAGGGCGCATTTCATATGCTTCGTTGGCACCCGACGTCATCCATTCAGACCATGATAGACAGCGACTGTGCGTATCGCGTATCACTCGTAAATTTGAGTGATATACCGTCTTTCTAATCTTGTCTTTCTCTGTAAAGTTTCGCGTGGAATACTTGTTATTTTTGTTGTTAATTGTAGTTTTCCATTGTTCCGCGTAAATCTGTAAAGATGAATAAGTCCAATAGAATAGTAATATGAGGTAGCGATAGATTGTAGAAAAATAGTAAATAGTATTAGGTAATTGATTGCTCACTGCGACTTGTATAAATAAAGTCCAAGTATAAATTGCTTGTCACACTATGAAAACGTGTATAAAGAACCTAAAGATGGTGCTATCAGAAAGATGGATAGTCCTCTGTGAGCACTGAAGATTAGTCTACGAGCGCAAACTTCGCTCCCACTGGTAGTTCCGCAGTATGAGTCTGGGGATGGCCACCCACAACCGACTGTAAAGATATTCGGCATTTCCGTTATTTTGGGGCGATGCATCAGTGGTACCTATCTTTTTCCCTTTTTCCAGCGACTCCGCCTCCGGACTCCGCCTCCCCATTCAGACAAAAGTAACGTTCCGGAGCAGCATCGAGTGGATGTATTCACTGTCTCTTGTAGAGTCATAGGGTTCATTACTGGGAATCAGCCGACAAATCTCGTCCCAGCGCGCGGTCTTTTCAGTCTTTTACCTCCTACAACTGTTTGAGGTTGGAGGAGTCCTAATGAAGTGCGTTTCCAACGTTCCCTTTGGACATTTTCTCTTCACAGACGGTTCACTTGGCGAATTTCTTTCCATATTTCTACAACATCCCTACACTCCTTATCGCGGGTCGTGCCTTTAATTTCTCCTGTACAGCTCTCTCTGCCAAGAATATGGGAATGATTTCCGTTCCAACTTTCCCTTGCCGGCGTGGTTTCTTTCCTCATAGTAAACCTTCTAATATGCAAATGCGTACTTCATGCTATATAGCCTTGTTCTGCGGTCGCTGGGGCGTGTCAGGCGAGCTACACTGCTCCACATAATGATAGTTCCACCCATAAATATTACAAAATCCCGTCTTACATGAGGTTTTCAAAAATGTCCTCAAATAGAAAATGAGGTAATAATCAATACCAGTTTGCATGCCAACACCGGAAACTAACTTGAAAGAACAAGTTTTTTTGTTCATTTTTTGAAAATTGGTACTCTGACAATTCCACAAAATGATAGTTCCACCTCATGTTCGTCGCGCGTCTCCTTTTTATTGGGTAAAACTGCCTCATCATTGTGACTCTGCTTTTCTAGGCAATAGCAAGAGGACAATCATTATCGGACCCTGAAAAAGGACAGATAATCGCAAAGAAGACTCAAGGACTGTCGAACCGTCAAATCGCAGGGATTTGGGCCGCAGTCATCATGTTATCAATAATTTTGTCAGGGAACCCGCAGGATATGGAATCAAGAAGAGCTCTGGGCGTCTCCTTTGCTCTCTGATCGGGATAAGCGCCGTATTTTGAGAGAAGCATCAAATTCTCCAATGTCGTGCCGGGAAATAAAGTCAACTTTGAAGCTTAACGTCTCAGAGGAAACTGTTCGGCGTGTCTTGAAGAAGTCTGAGTTCATTCTCAGGAGGAAAATGAGGAAGGCACCGTTTCTGACAGAAATGCATCGTGAAAAGCGAATCGACTTTGCTAGGAGATGTTGCCGAACCGATTGGAGTAAGGTTAGCTTATGGCAGCGGTGCCCTACTGCTTGTCTGTCTTGCCTTTTCAGTTTTTTTCTTCAGGTCGTGTTTGCTGATGAGAAAAATTCAACTGCGACGGTCCAGACGGAAATCGGTCCTACTGGCACGATCTTAGGAAAGAGAAGCTTCATTTTTCCAGGCGGAACTTCAGAGGAGGTGGTATTATGGTCTGGGCTGCCATCACTCCAACGGGACGTCTGAAGTTGTGTTTCGTTTCGAAGAAAATGAAGTCCCCGATTATCTAAATGTCATGCGACGAGGTCTTCCCTTTCTGGCGTAGAAATCGGCAAGAAGACCTCGTTTTCGTGCATGATAGTGTACCAATTCACACCAGTCGAAGCACTCGAGAGTGGTTCAGTCGTCATCAAATCGCTCTTTTGCCCTGGCCAGCACATAGCCCGATTAAACCCAGTCGAGAATGTGTGGGCTTCATGGTGCGCAAGATCTATGCGAACAATGAGCGATTCCACGATGTCTGCGAGCTTAAGGAGTCAAGTCATTGATGCATGGCACCAGGTCGACCGAAGCTTATTGAAAACCTCTATTCGAGCATGGACAACCGCATTTCCCAAGCCAACTTGTTGTTGGATGAGCGATTTGTTTGGTGGAACTATCATTTTGTGGAATTGTCAGGTGTCATATGGATGATCTCTGATATAAGCCATCATCCATATGACAGATCATCCATATGACACAGGAAACCAATTTTTAAAAGAAGGAACAATAGAAAAACTTATTTTTCAAGTTAGTTTCCGGTGTTGGCATGCAAACTGGTATTGATTATTACCTCATTTTCTATTTGAGGTTGGAACCCCGTGTAAGACTGGATTTCGCAATATTTGGATGAGCGATTTGTTGGGTGGAACTATCATTATGTGGAGCAGTGTAGATTTGGCGCGCCGCCAGCCTGTTTTCCACTAATTGTGGTCCTGCCAGCTTCCACAGTTAGTAGCGAAGGGCTGGCGCCACGCCAACGGGCCTCCTGACACGCCCCATTATCCGCAGCGGAAAGGGTAAATGTTTTGCGAAGAAGCAGTCACCTTAAAGGGATGATCCGCTGACCTATGAGAATGCAAAAAATTGTGTGAGGAGGGAGTGTGGTCCGCAGTGGACAACTCTGTGCCAATTTCGGATGCTTCATTGTCTCTTACAGAGACATAGGGTTCATTGCAAAGACACACCAACGGGACTCGTCCCAGCGCGCGGTTTTCCGGTCTTCTACCCTACAATCATTTGAGGCTGGAGGTCCTTATTGACTGCGTTTCGTTGCCTTTGGCATTTTCTCTTCAAAAACGGGTCACTCGGCAAATTTTCTTCCATATTTATGCACCATCACCCGGGTTCCTCATCGCGGACCGTGCCTTTATTCGTTGAAAAATAGCAAGAGAAGCCCCAATTTCCCTTTTTCGCCATGGGACAATCTTCGTTAATTTTTCTATAAAGGATCTGATACAGTTGAACTTGGGGAAACATCCTGAATCTCGTAATGAATTCTACATTTGTGGTGTTGCTAAAATTTCATCAAGAATTGAAAGCCTCGTGTGGAGACTCGCGCTCTAGTATAACATTTATTTTTTAACCAAGGCGCCCTTCATTACTAGAACCAGAAATTTTGATTCCCAAAATCAAAGCTCTGTACCAGAGGAAGCTGATTTATCCGAATAAGAGCTCCCACAGAAAAGGCATGACAAAAAAAAACAAGGGGTGGCAAATCCGCATTTTTTTTCTTCATTTGTCACACGGTCAAGGCGAGTACAGCACAGTGGGATTGTGAACATGAAAAGTACATCCGCAATGTCCATCTCTTAGACAGACGTCGCCTTTGTTACAATCCTCAGAGGTGGATTATTACGACATCCCGTTGGTTTTCGATTACGTGGCCACTGACAGCTTTTGAGTGAATGTGGGGCACGCAACGTCAAAGGGGTCTGTCTCGAACCTAGTGCGCTGCAACTCGTGAATAATGGGGTATGACAGGGAATTTTCAGGAAATATTTGCCTGTTTAGGAGAGTAAATACCAGAGAAAATAGTTGGAAACGTCCTAGACGGGTTCCTTGTTTTCTTACTTGATTTTAAGCATTGGATGAGGAACGAGGAATGGCACGTCGTACGTTGGGAACCCCAGCGAGGACGGTCGTGTTTGGTCCTTGGAGGAGGGAAAAGTTGTAATCGGTCGCTGGAGGGGAGGGTCGTAGTTGCGTTTTGAGACAACTGTTTTTGGATTGGTGATTTTTCTCATTTTCCTGTTCCAATTGACCTCCCACTCCGCCATACGCCTTCCCCCCCCCCGCTCGATCGACAACAACAGTTTTGGGTAAAAAGTGGAGAATTCCTAAAAAAGTTTGGGAAGTGATAGGAAGTTAAGAAAATCTAAAAGGTAGTAGTTAGGAGGGGAGATGGAGAAGATGGGTCGAGCCAGAACAGGAAGCTCCGAGGCGTCGTATTTTGTAAACTTCCCCCAACAACAGTACTTGCTCTGGCACCCTTACAAACAATGAAGGGGTGGAATGGGGAGAAGGCATCTATAGACAGGAGCATCCTTGTGCAAAACCCATCGGGGGGGGGGGGGAGGCGGGATCGTACTTGGCCGCTACAGGGGGTGGTAAACGTTAGGTCGGTGAGCACCAAAGCAACACAAAAGTGTCATCGCTCGCTTTGATAGCGAAATGCACGGTGCTTTTTCGGACCAACTCGATCGATGATAATCGCGTCACTAGTGGGCTCACTTTAATGGGAGTATGTATGTGTTTTGAAGGAATATTTAAGCTCGCGAATGAGTATCCTTACAATGGCACAGAAGGAGTCGAGCTTTTGAGTGGCTCAGAATGTCGCCCAAGGGTGACCCATCTAAAATATCTTCTAAACTAGCGGGTCTTCAGGAAAACTGTAGAGTTTGTGGAAGGGGGGGGGATTATTGAGCGTCTTACTAGCGTTCTTAATTTTGTAAAAAGATTGCGTTTGAAAGGAGTTATTCTCGTCTGAAGCATAAAAACCGCTCGCGATTTACCCCTAACGCATCCGTAAACCATCCGAACTATTTCACGAACGGGGTAAGATTCAGATTGCGAG